TAATCAAGTTATTAAAACTCTACTGCCTACATAAACTTTGCGGTTTCCTTGTAAAGAAGCTTTTACATCTATTTCAGAAGTTGGATCATGTTTTTGATTTTCTCCTAAGAATATCTGGAGGAGACCTCGATGTTGAGTTGCATTTCGTGATAAATAGTTAAATATTAAGCATATGATGATGTCCATGTTAGACTACTATTAAAAGGATTTAGTTTGTCTTTATAGAGCCGTTTTCTTTCCGTGACAGTTCCATAACTCTGGTATCTCCAGCTTGCTTTTCTACGTTCTCAGGGCCAGGCCACACTTCTAAGTGTTTTAAACTACCTTCAATTTCTCTTAAAAAGGAAGATTATATGAAATTCTTTCCTGGAAAAAGACTAAAAATCACAAAGAAACTACAATATCAAGTAAAGCACACCATTGTACAGAACAAACATAGTAAGACAATGCCATATGGGTTACCTAATAGTGTCAGAGATCTTGCCTTTGTCATCAAAGCTATAGTAGAGAGAGTATCATATTTCCTATTTCGGTACAGCTTTGTCTAGTCCTCTCCGTTTGTTCCTGCAAGAAACACTGTTTCTTGAAAGTTTAAGAACGAAAAGAAAAGTAACAAGTTATTAAAGAAAGAAATATTAATATCATTATTTTGAAAGTTATAGTAATTGTGTTCATCAAAGCCATTAGAGGCCATATGATCCTCCATGCTTGTATCGATTATGTTGCAGTCTAGCTTTTTAAGTTCTTGGTTCATATTTAAGCAAAGAAACCAAAAGATGAGAAGGTAAAAATTTTTGACGATTTTTGTAAAATTGTAAAATTTATATATCTCTACCTATTAATACAGAACAAGATACATAAACTTGGCACCAATATTACTATATTATTAACAAAATATGTAACCCATCATGCATAAAGAAAAGAGAAGCAATGGATGGATTCTGAAAAAGTGCCCTAATAATCTTATTAATAAACATTCAAATACAGTATAATATCTAATTCCTGCTCAAAAGCTAGACATGGTACCTTGCAATATCTGGCAACTATTTAAGCCTTCATATCTCCCGGAATATATTCATTGCTCGTTCTAACAAAGATGCAGCAAGGTAACTTTTTTATGAGGGCATGATATGCATGCAAAAGAGGTAGAGAAGGCTGCAAATTTTGACAATAACTTAAATTCTTGATTTTCCCTAATGATTCTATTAAACTCTCATTAGCGAAATTACCAAAATCGGTAATGGCCAAACTAATTCTTGATTTAAGGGTTTCTCAAATCAAAAACTTATGTATTACTTAGATGTTAACTAATTGGGAGCAGATTTTGGCTGTATGAAACAAATAAAACAAGGTAGTGTATACCATTTGTGTTGACTTTCTTGTGGCAATTACCAACTTCAGCATAGGACTTAGAAGCACCATGTTTGCTGTGTGGCAGTAAATGCAGAGAAATGATTCAATACATTCTTCCAGCATCATATTTGGAGCCCAACAAAAAAACAAAAACTTGTTAAGTGAAACGTCGTCAAGGTTTAGATAAGTTTTTCTAGGTTGATTCCTTTGTACAATCTATCACACATTAAACACACAAGCATGATATAATGTTGGGAAATTAAACAACCATGGAGAAAACATGGACCTATTAATATCAACAAAATAAAACCAAATTGGCCGGGTAATGTTTTCCAAGATTCTTTCTTCCTGCAAATTTGATACTTAATTTTGTAACTGTTGGGTTGCTATAAGTTGAAGAAAACATCATTTAGCAATTTGAATGGTACAACCAACAGTGAAGCAAAAATCAAACACAAAAGTAACAGAAAGGTTAACGAGGAAAAGAGAAAGTAATTACGTGATTTGGCAAGCTTATAGGAATTAGCTGCACTTTCTTTGAGTATAGATGTTTGCGTCACGATCGTATCCCGGAGATTTTTAAAATTTGGCGTGGAAATATTTTTGGACCGAGAATGCAAAGTGATCAAGGAAAATCTCAGTTGATTTAAATTCTTAAACCCAAAGTAAATGTTCATTAAATATGGTTTAAGAGGCATAACCCAATTGTTGTTTTCAAAGAGCCCATTATCTCTAAATACCCTAGTTATCTAGTCAAGACTTAACTACTCTAACATAGCCCCACTGAAAGCAAATAATGAAAACAAAGAAGCAGAGAGCTTCCATAGGAGAAGGAGGAAGGAGAAACAGACTCGAGATGGTGTTGCGGAGCCTTTTCTGGTCAGCTTCGAGAGTGTTAGGCCACTTCCTTTATACCATTGGAAAGATCCCCTTTGCAACTTTCCAGCGCCTCCGGCTTTGCTCAATTTGAAGGTATGCCTTTTCAATTTGAGGGATCGAATCTGATCTAAGTGCAGTTCTGTTTCAGTTTCGAGGAGGGACTTTGTGAGACATATTACGATCATATCTGAAGGTGCTATGAGACAATCTACATACCGATAGAAAGCCCCGAGTCTCAGGTTAACAGATACTCCATGATTATCTTGATCCAATGTATGTGGTGAAAGTTATGACGTTTTCGTTCCGTTGATGCAACTTGACCTAAACCATAAACAATCACAGATTTGAACAGTTTCGTTTGGGAATGGAAACCGAGGGTCAAATGTGTTCTGATCGATGTGGAACTTTGTAAGAACCTTTATGACTCTATTATTTACCCTAATCCGAAATCTTATTGTCATTTGGATTTGTTATATGAAAGTTATGGTTATTTACTTGGAGTTGATATCTGCAGTGCGAATCAGTGACCAGTCAGAGTATATCTTGTGTCGCGGCTTTGGTAGAGATCTGATGAAGCTGAATTTTGGTAAGGAGTTTCATCAACTTCTTATCTGTGCGTCTGTAAAATATCTTCGTGTTATCTGTGGTAGTTTAGGAGATATGATTGAATTACTGAGACTATCCTATGTAGTGCTCATACCAGACGAGTCTGTTGAGATGGGTGTTTGGATAAGCAAATAAATCCGGATCGAGCTAAATCTTTGTAGACATGTTGGGGACACATAGACCTAACTCTCCGTGGAAGGAAAACATAATTGAGCTTGGAAAGCATAAGGAAGTTTTATGTCAAAGTTGTGACAGCGAATCTGTCCAAGTGCAGTGGACAGAGTAGCGAGTTGTTCTTCTTCATTAAAGTGGCTAAGGTGAGGGTGTTGTCTAGATTACTTTAATACTAGTTAACAGTAGATGTTCTTACATRTTAGTCTAGGGATGGAATGTGATGTTGTTGGTTATATATGCTAAGTCTAGG